TATATATATATATATATATATATATATATATATATATATATATATATACTGAGCCCTAGGGTTTTACGGTAAGGTTTTGGCTAACTTATATTTGGGCCGACCTGGCCTGTCATCAGTTTTTAGGAAATTTGTGTCATCATCAGTTATGAGAATTCACACATGTGAATTCGCATGGTAATATTGCATGAGTATACATAAGTTGCGTGTGTCACATAGGGTGCCACAAGCTACATCACTACTCTTATGAACTGTATTAGGTCTTATAAATAAACTGTAGTGTACGTGTAACATTAGGTTAAGAAGTACTCACAATAAGATTAGAGTAGTATAGAGACTTAACACTACAAAGATTTTTTTTCTCGAAATGGCGATTGAGACATCGATATTGCAATTTTTGGGCTTGGTGATCAATGGCTTCCATCGATGGGTGAATTCGCACGGGCGTACGATTAAGGAGCGTCGGCATCATGACAAGTGTTCGGTCACGGTGCTGGCTGCGAAATTGATCCACAGTGGCAAGGACTACATGCTCAATGGATTCACCACAGCGGATAAAGCCAGCATCTACAAGGTTTTGAGGGAGCGATGGATGGATGTTGGAATGGTGGATTCAGTTGTGTTGGCGAGACACAACAAGATGCTGTCTATCCTCTTTATTCAGCCGAGGAGTGCGATGCTGGAAACGGCAGACAGACTGGCGGCTGGTTATGACAAGGAGCTAGAGAAGGCTGAAGCGTTATTGCAGAACATACAAACCTATGGTGTATGGGCAGTGATGGTCTACCATCTTTTTAGACTGCCGGATCAGCAGGTGCAGGATGAGGCCGAGCTTACGACTGAGCAGATGTTTGGTTGGGAACAGCAAGGAGGTCAACAGCCACAGATGGCAGATGCAGGGGGCAGTGACCATGCTCTGGCGGAACGGCTGGCTAAGGCGCTAGATGGGTTGATGAAACATTTAGCAAAGATGGGGGTGGTGGCGGCTGGAACCTCAATACAGGTCTTTAAGGTGGTTGACGAGGCTGCGCAGATTATGCGAGCCCAGTTGTTAAAAGAAACGACGCAGACTACGCGTGAGGGTGTCCTTAATGGCTACATGTTAGAGTGCTTTTTGAACCCCCACGCGTCATTCTTCATTGGGTTGATGCGTACTGAACCACTGAATGGAAAGACGGTGATTACGAATCTACGGGTGATCCATGACTCAATGGATGTGTTCATTCACACAGGTCTGGCGCAGGTGTTAGAGTACTTGCGTCAGGAGCGTATTCATGCTGATGGGCCGGCTACGAAAGGAGCTCCGGCGGTGTAGGATGTGTCTCAGGGTGATCGCTATGCCATGGATGGCACTTTGGCGGCTCTTTGTGATCTGCGCGCGCAGATAAATAACCAGCGTATGGAGAACAAGGCATCGCAGAAGGATCTGCGAAAGCCGATTGACGAGAATAGACGTCAGAGACCCCCGCGGAAGCGTACTCGAACTGAGGCCTTGGAGGACGTAGGGCACATAGCTGCTTAGTGCCGTAAAGGAAGCAAGTGACGGGAAAGGTCGCTGGGTACTGCTGTCGAAGAGAAGGCAAAGGCAAGCAGTGTTTTTCAGGGTGCTGTCCAGGGTGCAGATGCTGAGGTATACGTGGATTCGGGTGCCACTCCTAGTCTGGTTTCGGAGTTCTTTGCGGCGCAGCAGGGCCTGAAAATCGCGCGTTACATAGGTCTACCATACAAAGGTGTGGCAGAGATGGGCTTAGTTAGGCCGTCGGGTGTGGTGCAGTCTTCAGTCACGTTGGATACATTGGGGGGGGAACTCGGTAGTTCGTCCCATGGATCTCTTAGTGGTGAAGTCCTTGCCTTTTGACACGGATGTGTTACTTGGCTTTAAGGACTTACGGAAGGAACGCTTGCCCCTCATGTGGACAAAGCAGGATTGGTTGGCAGTTGTTCCCCAGACCCAGATCATAGACTTTTTGGAGTCTCAAGCGGCGGATGAGGACCAGTTGGAACCGCAGAGCCCGCCGGGCAAGCGGGCGAAAGTGGGGCGCACACAAGTTCGAAGCAAGAGGCGGTGACTTGGTGTGCGAATGCCGCAGAACGTAAAACTCAACTCGCTACGAAGCCATATTGGCTTGCGTGCGATTCACAGAAATGAGTTTAAGGAGCCGCAACGCAAGAATTATGTTGCGTCGGTGCAAGCGCATTTTATGGAGATCAAGCAGCGGTTGGACAATTTAGTCCATGCGGCGGAGGTGGATGATGCTGACGACTATGTGCTACCTCGTCTTATGACTTGCTGGCGGAGGTTGACATCCCCATTGGAGCGACAACAGTGTCTCCGGCCAAAGAGGTGGACCCGCAGGCGCATTTGGAATTCGACCAATCCCAGTTGCGTAAGCTGCACAAGGCCTGCGGGCTGCCGAAGCGAGAGTTGGACATCATGGCCAAAGGCATCCAGTACGTGGCTTACAATGCGGCTGCTCCCACTTTCATGGTTTTTGATGATATCCGTTTCCGTAACGGGGTTGAATTCAAAGTGAAAGAGGGGTCGCAGCCGTGTTATAATGTCTACCCTAACAAGGATCCCACCACGAAGCCATCTTGGCTTGCGTGCGATTCACAGAAATGAGTTTAAGGAGCAGCAACGCGAGAATTATGTTGCGTCGGTGCAAGCGCATTTTATGGAGATCAAGCAGCGGTTGGACAATTTAGTCAATGCGGCGAGGTGGATGATGCTGACGACTATGTGCTACCTCGTCTTATGACTTGCTGGCGGAGGTTGACATCCCCATTGGAGCGACAACAGTGTCTCCGGCCAAAGAGGTGGACCCGCAGGCGCATTTGGAATTCGACCAATCCCAGTTGCGT